TAATGAAGACCTGAAGAGGGAGATAAAGCTGAACGTTTGGCACAAGCTGTTCAAAGAACAGTATCGGGGTGTATTAGCCTTCTCATGGTTACACATTAACCTAATTTAAATTGTATTTTAAATGCTGTTCAGTTGCATTTATTCCCCTCTTCAGGATCTCTAAATGAGAACAGGTACAGTATGCTCTTTGCATGAACACATTTCCTGCTGTATTATAACAACTATGAAGCATGCACAGTTGAGATTTGGCTTTCAGGCTTCTAACATTGGTCTGGCCTGGAATAATGTCGGTTCAGTGTTTTAAATATTGTCATCTAAGACTCTGGTACACTAAATATAGCATCTTGCAGTACATGTAAAGAGAAAAACCGTGTACTTTTATAACTGGATTGAATCTTTCCTGAACTAATCTTGAAATAAGAGTCAAAATAGAGATATAGTTTAAGTCATCTTGTCTTGCACACTACAGAATGGAAATACCACTTGGTATATCAATGCATGATTCCTTTGGAAAAGGATTAATGGTCACTTCATACCAGGACAGTAGGTGTACAAAACTAAGGACAGTTATGAGTATAAACAAAACTGTTGGATAGGTTTTTCTAGAAAGCATAACTGGGCTTCTCAAGACATTCTTATCTAACAGGCCTGGGGGAGCATCTATTCACCAAGGCCCCCCAGGGGAGGACAAGAAACAATGGGCATAAACTGATTGAAGATTGCTTCAGGCTAGACATGAGGAAAAACTTCTTTACAAGTTGAGTGCTGAGGTTTTGGAAAAGGCTCCCCCAGAGGAGGTAGTCACCCACCCTGGCGATCTTCAAAAAGCATCTTGACATCCACCTTGCTGGGGTCATTGGATCGCAGCAGTCTTTCCTGCCCAAGTGCAGGGGGGCTGGATCCAGAGATCTGTAAGGTCCCTTCTGGCCCCTAACATCTATGAAACGCTAGATAAATTAGTTTCAGTTACTAGTTCTTAAAACGTTACCAGCTTGCTTACACTTGTGAGCCGTACGTATTTGTTTTGACTGCCAAATGACTGATTATGCCTTTTGATTCTTAGTGCTCTATTTTTAAATCAAGAGCTGTTTTTGTCTGTAAGGAGTCTAACAATGGTCTGCCTCAACTGAAAATGAAATTTGGTAATCAGAACCTTGCATTCTCAGGAGTCTGGATTAAAAGTTAATCAGCCAGCATCCTTTGCTATAAGGCTCAATGGAGCAAAGGGCAAGATTGATGCCAAAGTCCATAGCCCTTCTGGAGCTGTAGAAGAATGTCATGTTTCTGAACTGGAGCCAGGTAAGAACTTGTATGAATGAAACCTCAGTGCATTGCAACACCAGGACAAACTTCCGCATATCCGTGCATAATCGATAATAACCCAAAGGAACAGTCCAGTTTCCTTATTCATGCCGGCTGACCTTATCTTTGCATAACAATGTAGCTGGTTAGCAGAATGGCTCTGATTATCTATATTAAAAAAAGATACAAAAGTTACTTGATGACAAATGATGAGAAGCCTACTTCCTGGCATTGTAACAATAAGGAGCTTTAAAATCAGGGTTGTATGGGTTCTTGCCTTATCAATTTAATTGAAGCAATATAAAAATGAAGTTGGCAGTGTGCTAGCACAGGGAAAGGGATTTTACTGCAGGTCTTCAACACGCATTGAATACCAGTGCTACATTTTAGTGATAAAATAAATTTCATACTGTTACTTGAAAATTTGGTTTGGACGAATGAGTTGAATCTGATTTAAAGAAACAGATTATTTATATAGGGCAAATAACTTCTTATAGCTCTAAAGAAAGCTTTATTTTTGATCTGTTGTCCATCGGCTAATGTTTTATAGATTTCTGCATAGAGATGTTCTTTAAAGTTCAGTGTCACATCCACTTAATTGATTTAAGTTTTTCCTTATGCAGTAGTTGGGCTCATATCTTTAATGACTACAGGAAAGACGTGATGTTAGATTTACAAAGTAATTGGTAGTGTTGGCATGTTTAATAATATTGGCACTGGAGAAGCTGCTTGTTTTATATAATTTCTCGGCTACAATGCCCAGAGATTTGAATGTGGTCCTGAATTCAGTTCAGTGGGACCCCTTCCAAAGTACAGGTAAAATCCTAGTGCCAATGAAAAGCCAAATAGTTTCTCTCTGGGGTTAATGTGAAAATAAAACAAATGCTATTTAAGTGACTATCAAATGTGAAATTCCAAGATGTAAACTTTTCGATGTCTAAAGTTACACAACAGAGTAAATTTTACAGTCAAAGAATTCTGCTTCCCATTTCCAGATGTAAAATGGATCCCAAGTTTTTGAGCTTTTAAGTTCTGTTAGTTCTTCTGTTTTCAGGCATATATTTGTGGGTCCATGTATCCAAGTGCTAGTCAAAATTCAATTTATGCATGAAGTAGAGGACTGAAGAAATGTACATGTGTGGGGGGGTGTTTGTACAGTGCACTGCAACTGACAGTTAAGATCCCTCACTAAGTAAACGAGATAAGGGAAATTATGCTTAACAGCCTTGCTGTCCTAACCGGGAATGTTGAAGTCTTACCTTAATGCAAAAGAAGAATAACTAGTGTAACTGAACCGGCCTGTCATGGGGCCAAAGCTTACTGAAATGTTATAAAGCTGTATTTGCATTGCAATGCATCCTTATGTGTTAATATTCTTACTGGCATGATTCCTGGATCAATTACGCAATTTTTTTGTTGCAGACAAATATGCTGTTCGCTTCATCCCCCATGAAAACGGTATTCACTCGATTGATGTGAAATTTAATGGCAGCCATGTTGTGGGTAGTCCTTTTAAAGTCAGAGTTGGGGAGCCTGGACAAGCAGGCAATCCAGCCCTTGTTACTGCATATGGGCCAGGCCTGGAGAGTGGCATCACAGGTAACTTTTTTTTCTCTCTCCTAAGGTTCTTTAACCTTTTAATTTCTTGTATAGTGCTTACCTGAATAATTCTCTCCTAGCTCTTTCAGGGAGCTACATCTTGTAATTTGTTTTAATCCCAAGTCTTAATGTTGTTCCACCCTGTCTGGGCAGCTAAACTGTGTCACTTGTTTTACCTTTGTTGGCCTGGTCATAAGACCCAAGAGGTAGGAGGATGCAGCTAGCAGTTTGCAAGACTACAAAGAGATTGTATTTTAATACGTTTTGGGAAATTGGTTACTGCAGCACAAATTCATGGGAGTAGGTTAGCAACTCCATGAAGGATCTGTGCCAATTTAACTTAGCTCAGTTCAACCTAGGTGGTCCCTCGGAGCTCTGGAAATGCTTTGGCTTTGTTCCCACACGTGAAGCTCATACACATGAGGTATGCAGAACTCTAGAGAAGACGAAGGGGTCTTTTAAAAAGGCATTTAAAACTCTGTTCAAGTCTCTTAGAGGATACATGGATAGTCACTCACTGATTTTTGTTTGTTTGTTTGTTTTGTTTTTTGTTTTTAATCTTGCACTAGGGATAGGCATCTATTCCAGTTAGTAAAAAATAAATAAAATAAACCTTTTTGAGGCCAGTTCAGCCTATAACCATCAGACTTCAAAACTTTAACTTTAGCCAGTTTATAGGTAGGATAATGAGCCTGTAAAAAGGAAAACTTGGGTCTCCAGAAACTTCTCTTAACTGTACTGAATGCAAATATTCAATTGGCTGTCTGCTTAGATTTGGTCATCCACCCAGTCTCATTAAGCTACTTCTCAAATTATATTGGTGGAGAACCACCTACAAGCATCCGTTCACATTTGTGCAGCCTTCTAACATTAAGCTTAAAATTTTTAAATGTCTGCCTTATACTTTAGAAAGAGTTGGAGGGAGACCTGACATTCCTAGCTTGCATAGTATATTAGGAAAGATAGAGTGGTTGCATAAAATCTTGCATAACTATTCCTTTTTAATAGAAGTCTGGCATTTCAGTGTTTCTGTTCTTGCCTTCCCATCTATCCAGATATTGTCAGCTTCTTTTAAACAGTCGTTCAAATGAAAAAGGTGTCTGTACTTTTTTGGAATTCAGCTTCTTAACCAAATACAAATGTAGGAGTATCTTTGTATTTTGATTTATGTTTGGTTGCTTGTTTAAACTGTCCATATATGCGGGTAGGTAGCCAAGTAAAACTAATTTTTCATTTTGATATGCAGAGTGATGTCACTACTGCCAGCCCCCTTTTTCTCTCTCTCTACCCCTGCTGCGGATTCTCTGCAGTAACTTGTTGCTGGAAAAGTATAATGCAGATAGCAGCAATTGCCTGCTAATGCTTTTCTTGGCAATCTTACCAGTGAGGCATAAAGTCATGCTATATATGTAGGTTGGCTCAACGCATGGAAATAAAACAGCCTACCTTGATGCTAGCTGCTGACAGACCAGGTTGGATTTTTCTCCATCCATAAAGGTGTTTTTTGTGATCTGAAATATATCAGTTGGCTCTGGAGAATTGAGATCAAATGGCCCTTTATCAAACTGCGGCTATTCCAAACTGTTCATATTGGCCTGGGAACTCCTGGAACAAGTCTGGCAGGATTTTTGTACAATAATGTTGCTTTTGAAGTACTTCTTATAACTAGGAGGTATGAACTGCAAATTCTTCACTAGTCCCTTTTATATAGCAATCGCTTCCTATACCATGCTTCATGTGAATAAGGAAAAGGAAATGTTACTTTTACCTGGAATTTGCTGATTTTTGTAGAACAGTGGGATGCTGGGGGACAGTTAGTGGTGTAACACTCAGATGTGCAAGCAGAGACAGAAAAATGAATTCTTTTGCTGGTGGGTGTAAATTCCTTACTTCAAGGTAAGGAAGATAAGGTCCCAGGAAAAGTGTTCCCGGGAACGAAGAGACACTGACTGACCGGTGGTGATACTTGTTTGCTGTAGAAAGCAAGAAGTGTTATTTAATGTACAGTTCTGTAGGTGTTCAACATGTCTGCCATTAATATCCAGGCATTTTCCCCACATAGGAATTACACTGAGTGCCTGGAGAAGGTTGGTTGATTCCATCTGTCTCTTCCTGATGGCATGTGTGAGAGATGCTCTGTAATCCAATATTTGAATTGGGTTGGAGTAGTCAGGGGCTCCTTTCTAGGAGAATCCAGTATTAGCTGCTGCATACCAGATTAAAATGGGCTTCGTGGTTTCCACAGAAACTTGGACTTTCTCTGTTCTGCCAGTCACTGGGAGAGATGTTCAGCTGACCATGTTTGCTTTCTACTGGAGGAGAATGGGGATTAGAAACCTTCTCCACCGTTTATTGCCAAGCTTTTATAGCAGTCCCTATAGCTTCAATCGCTAGTCCCTCTTCATAGTCTGTTAGTTGCCTTTTTAACATTCCTGTTTCTGTGAATGTTTTAAACAACTTTTTTTATGGTTAGCTCTGCCATAACTGCTTCAAGATAGCAATTACTGAAAAATACAAAGGTGACAGTAGTCTACTGAAAGCCTTCTTTGAAGAAAGCTTTCTACATTACCTTGATAGTGGCATTGTAGTATTGCCGCTAACACAAATTATGTACTATTTTGAACTCAAGGTACAATTAAATCAAGTTTGTTTCCACTATGGCAGACTGTCTGAACAACCCTGCCATTTTGTAAGAGCCGTTTCCAAATGTTTATCCTGATCATGTATGATTCACTTATCCCATCAACTCCTTTCCACCCCCCCACTTCTCCCTCCCAACCACCTTTAGCTCTTTCACTAATAAGTTTTACAGTTAAAATCTCACTGCATGATTAGAAAAGTTATGCTTATCTAGCACTGAAGCAAAGCCACCTCAGCATAGGCTACAAGTAGGAATGCAAACATTGTAAATACAAAACTTCTAATGCTGACGGGCTAGGTAAAGGAAAAAAACCCCAAAATTATTTTCCATTGAAGCTCTCAAATAGCTGCCTTGCTTCTTGCTCACATGAAAATAGGCAAAGGAAGAATTGGAACTGGCAACAGCAACTTCTTACTGTAAAGTCTGGAGCAGTCGTTCTGAAAACAACATGCATTCAGTGGGCAGAGTGCTGCTTGTGGTGGTATAAAGCTGGAATGAATGTTAATTTTCATTGTGAACCTGGAGGGACAGTAGAGTCTGGGCCCCAGGATCCTTGCCTCCTGTCTCTAGTCTATTTTATGTTCAAGATAACTGGAAGTTCAGAAAGAAGACTCTTCAGTATGCCAATTGGAAGATGGGACTGGGCTTTGTAACACCATGGTCTTGCCTTTTGGTATCATAAATTCCTGGTTTATGCCTGTTTATAATTGTACAAATATTGTAGCATTCAAATAGAACATGATAAATGATTTGTTTTTGTGCTGAACTGCCTTTCAGGATTACAGTCAGAGTTTTTCATAAACACAACCAAAGCCGGTCCAGGTACCCTCTCTGTTACAATTGAAGGACCCTCAAAAGTCAAAATGGACTGCCAGGAAACTCCAGAGGGTTACCAAGTGATGTATACACCCATGGCACCAGGAAACTATCTTATTGGAATTAAATATGGAGGGCCTAACCACATAGTGGGCAGCCCTTTCAAGGCCAAAGTTACAGGTAAAATTACTAACTGTAGTATTGTCGGTACACCTAACTAGCTTTCCTTGATTGCCGTGGAGATTTCTACCTTTATCAATCTTGTTTTTGGAATCTAGTGTTGACCATGAGGGACGAGGCATTTTTCCTACTAGTGTTCTAGATGAGAGATCTTATCCCAAAGCAGGTTAAATATTTGGACAGTACATGTGCACCTACTTTTACAGCTTGTCCTTCACTGAATGACAAACTGCTAATGGGGAAAGAATTAGAAATGAGAGAGGAGATAGGTGTAAAATGTACTGTAGTTTTTAGAAATACATTGTTTACTGGACCTTGCTTTGAAAGTATAACTTGTTTTTGTTGATGGTTCTTATATAAGACACCTATATTTGATGGTAGCTCACATTGATTTAATTATACCTTGAGTTCAATTAATTCAAGAGAATAACTTGAGGAAAAGTGAGCACTATATAGAATGTTACTTTAAAGCTGTTAATTTAATACTGTAAAACTGTGTGCCTGCATTGTCTGCTTAAAATTAGTTTAATGCAGAAGGCAAGATTATATTTCTGATGTTGCCAGTGATTTGGCTGACCCATCTGTAAAGCTGCCATGTTCAAGACAACACAGCTTGAGACAAGTGCGCACTCTTTACCCTGCTGTAGACTTGGGCACCTTTTTGCTTCCCAAGTGAGTTGCTCCAAATGTGCACCCATTCTTCTGTTGACTCGAGTCAAAGGCATTTAGTGACGTGAGCACAACAATGCTTTCCCTTAAGCTGTCAACTAAACTTCATGAAATCTGAACTCTATGAACCCTTAAACTGAAACATCATGTGTCTGCTTAAGCACTGGGTTGCTATTGCTTTCACAGTGCATGGCAGATGTTAGTTAGTATATAGAGTTCAGCAGACGGGTGGCTCCTAGGCTGTGTATATATCCTGAATAAATCCATTTTTCCTATTATAATAGTGCTTTATGTACCATATAATTATAAATAGTTTGCAAGTATAACTGGCACCCAGTCTGCAAATCAAAATAAAGTTTGCAGAGAATAGGAGTCTAATTTTCTTTAACCGTCACTTGTGCAGTGTGCATAGAACTGCTAGATACCTGTATACTTAAGAGCTTTCAGTTGGCTGCCTCCTATTGTGGAAGAAGCCTGAAAGAAGAGTGGGATGAGTGCTCAAACTGTCCTGTCACTGCCTTTTGGTTTTTATCATGATCCTAGTAAAGGTTTTTTTTTCTTTCCGTTTAAGAACATGGGCACCGCATTTAGTCTCATTCACTGTTGGCTTAATTTAAATTCTGGGGTATACTAGAGACCACACACTAATCCAGTGAATTCCTGTTCCTAATTGGAACCTTTTAGAAGTTGATGGTGCAATGCAAATGAAATGTTTTTTTGATGCGACTGTTGATATAAGAACTTTTCACTCTTTCAAAACTTCCTTCTACATGCCCTAACAAAGTAGATGCTTGCAACTTTCCAATTTTTCTTTTAGGCCAGCGACTGGTTAGCTCGGGCAGTGCAAACGAAACTAGTTCAATCATGGTGGAATCTGTGACAAGGTCATCAACAGAAACATGCTATAGTGCCATTCCCAAATCTTCATCTGATGCCAGCAAAGTGATCTCCAGGGGAGCAGGGCTCTCAAAGGCTTTTGTGGGTCAAAAAAGCACTTTTTCTGTGGATTGCAGCAAAGCAGGTATGGATGCAAGAATGTCATCTCAAGGCTGTTGCATGTTTGCAATACAGTTCAGAGTCCAGCATGAGTCTGAATGGCTCTGCAATTTATTGGCCAAGAATTAATTTCTAGCTAATCATAAATCTTTCTCTAGAGGGTAAGACTAACGAGTCCTTTTCTGTTAGCTGGACAGAAGTTAAAACTCCTTGAAGTGAACCTTGAATTTTTTTTAGAGTAGCGTGGAATACAAGCTGTGGGGATAATTTGGTTTCAAAATGTACAAATGTAACTTTAGCATTCAGGTATCCATTACAGCTACATGGTGACCACCAAATGGGGCCAGATTAGGTAATTAGTTGGTTTAGACAGGGTCTTGTGTCTGATAGGCACTCTATGAAGTCCCAGAGGGAGCGGGGCTACAGCATTGATATGAAGTATTTTTTTTTTAAAGCTGCATGCTTATGTTTTGTTTTTGTGGGTTGCATTATGCATCTTGTGAAGGATGTGTACAGAAGCACAGGTGAAACTTGGTCTTTACTGTATAGAAAATGTGCGTCACTAAGCACATTCGTAAACCTGATTAGTGACCTGATTCCAGAAAGGAAGCTTTTACCATGGAAATAGTAGGACAGCCTTAGTTGCAAGTGTGTATAACAGCTTGAAATATGTTTTTAAAGCGAAACTTTAATGCCTATAAAATCTATGAAACCTCCTGGCTCTCCCACCATCTTGTCATCACTTGGATACAAGTTGTGCAGTGACAGTATCATAGCCACTGAGGTCAATCTGAGGCGTGATTATTGCTAATTGAAACTGCCCTTTGTTGAGCCAACATTTATTGTGTTGTCTGGTGGTGTGAGATGCATCAGACCCCATAGTTGGGTTTGGTCCAAAAGTTTTAATAAGGAGCTGTTGTATGTTGAACATGGCAGAGGCAAGCTTCAGAGACTTTTGATTTTATACACAGCTAAACCAAACTAAGCCCCTTTGGTTGGTGATCCTGTTGTTCTGGAGCAGTTGCTAGTATCCAGTAACATTATCTTATTGCACCACAGGTTCAAATATGTTATTAGTTGGTGTCCATGGACCCACCATACCATGCGAAGAAGTATCAGTGAAGCATTTGGGCAACCACCAATACAACGTAACATATGTCGTCAAGGAAAAGGGTGACTACATTCTGGCGGTGAAGTGGGGTGAAGAACACATTCCTGGAAGTCCATTCCATGTCACTGTTCCCTAAGCACTTCTAGCATTAATCTTTTTGTATTACATTTGTGATGGCAGTTTAGAGTAATGCTGTGTTCAGGCCTATTGCAAAACTACAATATCTCAATATGCAGCTCACACTTCAGTGCATCCAAAAGTAAATTCTAGAGTTTTATTTTTAGAAGCATTTCAACTCTATCTTTAAATATCAATACATATATAATGTAAATCTATTTAATATTCTTCTAAATTGTACCTTTCTGTGCTGTCTATGGGTAACTCGACATTTTTGAGAATCATGTGGATAACGAGACACTAATTTCCCTTGTGGATGTTAAAGACTAGATATTTGAAAACTGGAAATCGTCTATGGAATTGGGTATCTTAAACTACTGATTAGTTTTTGTTTTTGGGGGCGTTTTTTGACTGGAGACTTTACATTTAGTTATGGAATATGACTTGGGCTGTCCCCAGTTCAAATTCTTTTTCTGTATAGAAATGAGGTAAAACTGGTACTTTAATATGTGCCTTTGTATACTTGATCCATTTTTAATGCTTAACAGAATGAAGAGCTGCAATAAGTTGCTTTACTACTCAAACTAAAATATTTTACCAAAAAATAAATGCTTTCCTAAGTTTACGTTTTAGGAAGTTGCTTGGTTTTTGGTTTTGTTTTTTTTTTCCAGCAGACCTAAAGCTGACTGAATTACTTCCTGGAAGCTTTGAGTCCCCCAGCATTAATGCTGTGTAAAACTCCACAGCTAACTTTCCCCCATGATGCTTGTAACAGTGTTTTTAATTTGCTTGGGCTTCTGGTGAAACTTCTTAAAGACAATTGCTCCACAGGTTGCCAAAGTGATGTGCAGTCATGACTGGGTCTCAAACTCCCCAAAAGTCTTTGCTTCTAGGCACAAACTCCAGTCAGGTGGATTAAGTAGAATCACCGCATCAATCCTGGTTATAATGAGGTCTTTGGAGGTCTCAGTTCGTAGTTTAAAGGGTTATCAGCGCATGGGAAAGGACCAAAGGGTGCGCTTTTAATAACATTGGGTGTGGAGAAGAAAAAGCAAGTGATGGGAAGCTATAGTCATGACTTCAATAAAAAAAAAAAAAAAGCTCTATAGAAGGGCATCTAAAACAATAGTACTGCTGTGAAACAACAGAGTAACTGTTGTAGGTGCAAGCCACTTTGATCACCTGGCAATTTGAGGACTTCATTATAGCACACATCTCATCCTGAAATCCCCCTCATGCGACAGACTACTAAAAAGCAAAAGGTTCATCCTTTTTTCCTTAGCACTAAGGAATGAACACCTGCATGTTGTAGCTTTCATGTTTCTTGTAAAAGGCCAAGAAAAATAGAAAAAAATGTATTCCAAATGCATAGCTGAGCATTACTGCCAACTACTGTGGTGTTAGTAAGATTCCCCAAATGAGGCTTTTTAAATTTTGTATGATTAGGGAAAACTGGCTTCACTGATTTTGTTGATGCTTTACCTCCTGTCTGTAGTAAGAGGCTTCCACTTATGGCTCTCTCTCTTGTAGGATTTGTACGTTGGTGCACCATCCTTGAGCACAGTCTTTTTGCGGGAAGTTGAGGAATAGGTTTTTACTGTGCTTTGTGCCTTAATGTGAAATGCTCACTGCATTGTAAACTAGGAAGCAAAAATTAAATAAACTGGAAATAAAGTGCTGGATTGTAAAATTGTATCTTAACTTATTAAATACAGATGTTGGCTTCATTAAACATGCATGTTAAAAACCACCTTGATATTTTTTTGTCACTTCATATTTGTACTATGTTAACCAACTTAAAGCTACAGCACTGTTCACCTATGTAGACTCCTGGCTGACTTCCAACTGCACATGGAAAACATCCCAATTGTTCTGTTTCCTTAAAATTAGGCCTCAGTGAGGCAAATCCGTCAAGTAGACAATTCTGCTTAAGGTCCTGCACCATATTTGTTTTCAATTAAAAAAACAAAAACAAAAAACCATCAAAGAACCAATTTAAGACCATGTTTAAATTTTCCCACCCACCTGGGTCCTGAGTTGGGAGAGGAGGAGCAGGGCATGATGTTTAAAATAGAAGCAGAAATAATTCTTGAAGTGCCAGTCTTTGACATGACTGTCAGCTGGTATCCGTAGGCAGTCTGCTTGGATCATTTTAATAAATGCAGAAGGAAACTGGCTTATGGATACATCTGGGCAGAAATTAACTTAGTGTAAATGGTCATGTGCTGTGTAGCTGTAACTTGTGCTTTAAGCTGCTTGTTCTGAACATTGCTAGCTTTTAAGTTCATTTTGTCTAGCCACCTGCTTCACTTGAATTAGACACATGTAGGCTGATGGTGTGAATGTGGAATTTGGCCCAGACGATGAGCTAACCTGTTATGTAATCAAGTGGTAGATGGACTTGCCGATGCATGTAAAACATGGAGCCTGTAACCCTAAGGTCACAAACTACAATGCATCTTGGGTCTAGTGAGATGTATTGCTTCCCATATGACCCTGTTCAGTAGGTTTTAAGTGAGTTGGTGGCTTCAATGTAGTTCCTAGCAGACACTACACATCTGGTTCCGGCAACCTTGCTTAGCAGCCGTGGCCAGGACTGCACATGAAAAATAATCCTCCCTCTTCAAGGTGGTTCAGTGCTGGTAGTCCAGGGACTTCTCTGGTAACTTTAGAGACTGGTGTTGGTCACAGAAGGTGGTTTCCAACTTCTTATTGCACCTTTGTCTCGGTAGGTTTAGCTTGGCAATACGTTGCCATAGCAACTAGCAGATGTTTCTCAAACAACTCTCCAACTACAAGTTTCTAGGAAACCTGAGAAGTGGTGAGCAAGCTGCTGCTGCCAAGGACTTTCCCATCTTGCATTTTATCTGAATATTTCCTATTTATGGTTAACTAGGTTTGATTAGTTTTCTGCTAGGTCAGCTTGAACCTCCTCTCAGTGGGGGCTGGGAAATACTGTTTGCATTTGTCCAAGTTGAGTAAACAAGAGTGACTTTCCTTCTAGTGCTTCTACAACTTGAGCTACCAAAACTAAAATTGCAGACTACACTGGCTGGAGTCTTTGCTGTAACCCCTTACCTGCTCAGCTTGGTCTCATTAGTTGAAGTTTTTAATGCAAGTCATCAGTGAAACTGGGTCTTGTTTATCATCTGGACCAAAACTACTTTATGCTGAAGTGTAAATGCAGATTAATGTCCTGTTTGAGAAGACAAGCAATTCTTTTTGAATGCCCAATATAGGCTTTGATGTGACCATATATTCACACTAAGGCTAGGAACAGACATTCAAAAAGCTTGAGGCTGAATTGATTCAATCTTTTCAGGTTAGTCTAACCTGGCTAGGCTGAACCGGTTTGTAACCATACAGACATCACCTCTGGACTGAAGAAATGTAGACACATGCCTGCAGTGGCTCAGGCTGGAAGCCAGGGGGAGGGGGGGCACTAGAGCAGCCTTCCCTTCCCTTCCAGAGTGCTGAGCTGAGGGGGTATGTGGCCAGGCCCTGGCAGGATGCTCTGATTAGTGAGGGACTCCCCCTCTCCCCCCACTTGCTGTTCCTGACCAGCCCAGCACAGAGTTGATAACACCGTGTTTATCAGCCCATTAAGAAAACAAAAGCCTCTCTCATTAGTTCAAGTTCTTCGTAAACAACTTTTTCCAAGGAAGGAACGAAGGGACACTACCAGCTACCTGTTGCTTACCAGCCTTTGTCCTGCCTGCCTTACACACACCTCTCAGCATTAGCTAGCGTACCACATGCTTGCTATGGTGGGTGCTGTTTTGGGGGGAATCCCTGCTTGAGCAAGGAGAGTGTGTGGGGGTGGGCAGGAGGACGCCAGGCAGATATCACTGTGCCTGCTATCTCTGCCAAAGCTGCAGCCAGGGAGCAGAGGGGAGGGGGCAGCCCAGCTCTCTGGAACAGAGCCCTGCCCAGTGCTACAAAGCATCTGGGATGCTGGGGGGACTCTTGTTTAAGTTAAACCAGGAAGGGGAAGGGGTCTGGGACAGACATTGCATAAATCGGTTTGACCCAAATCAGTTAAGTCTGATGCTACATTCAACCTGGCTTATGTCAAACCGGTTTTAGCCATTTTCAAACTGGTTTATGTGCACTGAACATCTGTTGTGTTATAGGTTTAAACTAGTTTCTGATCACTTAAACCAGTTTGTGTAATGTCTGTCCCTAGCCTAAATGCTTTATTCTCACTTGCTAAACTTTTTGTTTGCAAATGGGCTATTTATACCAGTTAAATTCAGCTTCATTTTTATGCAACTCCTGTCACATTGGTGGCAAGATCGCTTCTTCCTCCCTTGGCTTTAGGAGCAAATTTCAGTCCACTGTGAAGTTACAGCTTTATTTATTAAAATGTCAAATTTTGCACTTCTGCTTTACAAGTCTGAATTGCCAACTCTATGTGCAGCCAAGAAGGGAGCACTAACATGTGATGATGATTTCCAGTAACAGTGGTGGTATTGCCTCTTTGTGTATCTTGGAAGATGATGGCCATTTGGATTTTGCAAATTTAAACTTTTTGTGACATGACAGATGATATAACAGGAATGTGTTTAACTGCCCCAAAATCCT